CAACAGTTAGCAACGGACATGGAACAACAGACTGCTTCCAAATTGGGAAAGGAGTACATCAAGGCTGTATATTGTCACCCAGCTTACTTAACTTACATGCAGAGTACGTCATGAGACATGCTGGGCTGGAGGAAGCACAAACTGAAATCAAGATTGCTGGGAGAAATATCAATAACCTCAGATATGCAGATGACACCATCTTGTGACAGAATGTGAAGAAGAACTAAAGGACCTCTTGATGAAAATGATAGAGGAGACTGAAAGTTCAGTTCAGTTCAGTCGCTCAGTTGTGTCCAACTCCTTGCGATCCCATCGACTGCAGCACACTAGGCTTCCCTGTCCATCACCAATTCCCAGAGTTTACTCAAACTCATGTCCATTGATTCGGTGATGCCATCCAAACATCTCATCCTCTGTCATCCCCGTCACCTCCCGCCTTCAATTTTTCCCAGCATCAGGGTCTTTTCAAATGAGTCAGTTCTTCGCATCAGGTGTCCAAAGTATTGGATACTCACCATTCAGAAAAGTAAGATCATGGCATCCGGTCCCATCATTTCAAGGCAAATAGATGGGGAAAAATGGAAACAGTGACAGACTTCATTTTCTTGGGCTCCAAAATCACTGCAGATGGTGATTGCAGCCATGAAATTAAAAGACGATTGCTCCTTGGAAGAAAAGCTATGACCAACCTAGACTGCATATTAAAAAGCTGAGACATTACTTTGCCAGCAAGGGTCCATCTAGTCAAAGCTATGGTTTTTCCAGTAGTCATGTATGGATGTGAGAGTTGGACTATAAAGAAAGCTGAGCACCAAAGAATTTATGCTTTAGAACTGTGGTGTTGGAGAAGACTCTTGAGAGTCACTTGGACTGTAAGGAGATCCAACCAGTTCATCCTAAAGGAAAGCAGTCCTGAATATTCATTGCAAGGACTAATGCTGAAGCTGAAACTCCAATACTTAGGCCATCTGATGTGAAGAACTTACTCATTGGAAAAGACCCTGATGCTGGGAAATATTGAAGGCTGCAGGAGAAGGGGACAACAGAGGATGAGATGGTTGTATGGCATCACCAACTCGATGGACATGAGTTGGAGTAAGCTCTGGGAGTTGGTGATGGACAGGGAGGCCTGGTATGCTGCAATCCATGGGGTCCCAAAGAGTCAGACACGACTGAGTGACTGAACTGAACTGAACTGCACTGAACCATGTGTATGTGTGCTCAGTTAATTGCTCAGTGGTGTCTAACTCTTTGTGACCCCATGAACTGTAGCCCTCCAGGCTCCTCTGTCTATTTAATTTTCCAGGCTAGAATATTGGCGTGAGATGCCATTTTCTACCCCATGGAATCTTCCTGACTCAAGGATCAAACCCAGGACTCTTGCATTGACAGGCAGATTCTTTACCACTGCACAACCTGGGAAGTGCAATAGTGCTTTGTTCCAAATAAACTTCCTCAATTTTTGTAATATGGAAAAATCCTTAAGCTATGGTTACTTTCTGCTTAAAATTTTTACCTTCTCTTCATTTCTTTCCTCTTGCATTTTTGTATAAGTAGCCAGGGGAAACCAAACCTCTCTTTTAACACTTGCTTAGAAATTGCATAAGCCAAATTTTCGGTTTCATTGCTTACAAGTTTTGCCTTTCACAGAACACTAGAAAACAAACAATTTAGCCTAGTATTTGCCTCTTTATAACAAGGATCACCTTTTCTCCATTGTCCAATAACATGTTCCTCATTTTTGTCTGAGACTTCATCAAAATGGACCCTACTATCTATATTCTACCAATATTTCATGCATGATTACTTAGGTGTTCTCTAAGAATATTTAAGCTTTCTCTACCCTCTCTCTTCTTTCAGAGTTCTCTCCAGAATCACCTTTAAAATTCTATTCACAGCAGTCTAGGCTTTCTATATCATGCACCTCAAAACTTTCCCAGCCTCTGTCCATTATCCAGTTCCAAAATCACTTCCACATTTTCAGGTGTTAATTATAGCAGCACCCTCCAAATCTCAGTATAAATTCCTGTTTGTTTGTTTGTTTAGTTCAGGATGCTGTAGGGAAATACCATTGACTGGGTGGGCTTATTTATTTCACACAGTTCTGGAGGTTAGAAGTCTGAGATCAAAGTCAGGTTCTCATAAGCATTCTCTTCTAGGCTGCAGACTACCAGACTGCAGGCTGCAGGCTCACTGTACCCTTGCATGATGGAAATTGGGTGAGAAAGTGCTCTGGAATCTGTTTTCTTTTCCCTCTGTCTTTTTGAAAAAAATTAATTGAAGGATAATTGCTTTACAGAATTTTGTGGTTTTCTGTCATACATCAACAAGAATCAGCCATATGTACACCCATGTCCCCTCCCTCCCGAAACCTCCCTCCCATTTCCCTCCCCATCCCACCCTCCTAGATTGTCACAGAGATAAGGATACTAATACCACTCATGACGGCTTCATCTTCATGACCTAATGAACTCCCAAAGAACCCACCTCCTACTACTGTCACATTGGAGGTTAGAATTTCAACATATGAATTTGTGGAGATACAAAAACATTCAGTTCATTAAAAAGTATAAAGTAATCAAACCTTATATTAATAACAATGATTAAATAGCTAACATTTATTTAGACACTGTGAACACTTGGCATTGATTACCTCACTCCCATCTTACAGATGAGAAATGTTACACTCATAGAGGTGAAGTTACTTGTCAAGATTACATAGCTAATACGTTGAGAAACTAGAGTTCAAACTTGGGCTATCTAACCCTCACAATATTAACCTTTAAATAAGCCATGCCCTCAGACCAATATAGATATGCAGAAGCAGAATGATGTGGCATGAGTAAAGAAACCATCCAAATACAAATGTCTGCCTCACTAGTTATACTGCCACATTTATCTAAAACATTAGTCATCAACCTCATAAAAATTTTCATTGCAGTGTTATTTATAATCATGAAAAATTAGAAATAAACCAAATTTCTTACAATAGTTGAACAGCATGTAAAGTATAGCTCCTGTAATAATGAATCTCAAATGCATCCATTACTCATTCATTCAACAAACATGTATTGAGTATCTACTATATGCTAGGTAATCCTCTACATGCTAGGGAAATACAAATGAACAAAACAATGTCCTTGTCCCACAGTCCCATGAAGCATTCAAAGATTTTTAAATGATATGAGAAAATGCTTGATGAAATGCTAGGTTAAAATTAGATAAAAGTATGTATTTAGTATGAACTAAATTACATCCACACAAAACAGTTCTATGTTGGAATACCTTTAATTTCATACTTTATACACTTATATATTATTCATACTTACTGCACAAGCATCTAATATAATAATAATACATTTTTATATTTTATTTCTTGGGTTCATACACATAATTATTTCAGTGACATTAGATCATTCATAATAGTTCTGTGCTCTCATCTAGCAAATGCTTTACACTAACTCTTTAACTCAGTTGTTACAAAACTTTTTTTAAATGGCCAGACAGCAAACATTTGAGGCTCTGAAAACCATGTAGTCTCTGCAACTACTACTCAATGCTGTTATAATACAAAACCACCCATAGACAATATTTAACTGTGCTTCAGTTAAATCTGTGGGCCATATTTTGCCCCATGGACTGTAGCCCACCAGGCTCTTCTGTCCATGGGATTTTCCAGTATTCTAGTAAGAATACTAGAGTAGGTTGCCATTTCCTTCTCCAAGGGATTTTCCTGACCCAGGGATTGAACCTGCATCTCCAATGATGGCAGTCTCCTGCATTGCAGGCAGATTCTTTACAGATTCTTTACCAGGCAAGACTTATACTTTGCTGATACTACTTAACTTCATAACCGACACAAACACAAAGCTCTTTCTATTTCCACTGTTCAATTTCCTAATTATAACATCTTTGAGAGATACATATTAACCACATTTTACAGAGGAGAACACTAAGGCAAGTTGTTAAATTCAGTTCCCAAGGGAGATATCAAATCTCCTGTTGCCTGAAAAGCATACATACATAAATGCTAATATTAAACTTTCTAGGGGATTTGTTCCTTAGAAGAACCTTATTCTGAAATATTTTGGAAAATAAACCAAAAAATTAATTTTCACTCTTCACCAAAATATATCTATTTTCATGTGTTTTGCTCAGTCATATCCAATGTTTTGCAACCCCATGAACTGTAGCCCACCAGGCTCCTCTGTCCATGGCATTTTTCAGGCAAGAATACTGGAATGGTTTAACATTTCCTTCTTCAGGGGATATTGTTGATTCAGGGATCAAACCTGCATCTCCTGCATTGGCAAGTGGATTCTTTACCACTGTGCCATCTGGCAAACCCCATTTTCATGTTTTAGATCTTTTTAAAGAAAAATTTGCCTGCAGACTGAGTCAAAGATCTAAATGGAGGCTTAAGGGATATTTTTTTAAATATATTTTATTTATTTATTTATTTATTTATTTTTGGTTGTGCTAGGTCTTTCTGTGTATGTGCTTTCTCTCATTGTGGTAAGCAAGGGCTATTCTTCATTGTGGTACATGGGCTTCTCATTGTGGGGGTTTCTCTTGTTGTGGAGCACAGGCTCTAGGAGCACAGGCTTCAGTAGGTACAGCACATGGGCTCAGTAGTTGTGGCTCACAGGCTCTAGAACATGGGCTCAGTAGTCGTGGCACATGGCCCTGTTGCTCCAAGGCTTGTGGAATCTTCTGGGACCAGGGATCGAACCCATATTCCCTGCATTGGCAGGCATATTCATATCCACTGTACCACCAGGGAAGTCCAAAGGGATATCTTTTGATTGATTTTGTATGAGGAGGAAATGGGACTAGGAGGGAATGTTTCTTTATATTTCTTGAGCAGTCTCCCAGGAACTTGGGACAACAGGTGACAAATGGGGGTAAAAGATGCCCAAGTTCTCTATATTCACCAAGGAGGCTGTTTTTTCTCAGACCTGCTTTGAGAGTCACATGGCCACAAATAGCTGAAGACTTACCAATGTTAATCTCGTCATCAGTCAGAGTATCTCCAATGAAATCAAACTGAAAGGACTGCAATGTCTGAGAAAATTTCTGAACAGCAGAGGAATAATCTGCAAAGGAAGGGAAATGGGAGAAATGGTCAACGCTGCAGCCTTTTGCCTGATTTCCTTATCTCTGTTAGGACAGACAGGAGAAAAACAAAGGGAAGTGCTCCCAGCAAGTAGCAAATTGCATTGGAAGATGTTAAAGAAAAGATCAGACCTTCCACGGAAGATTTGAGCAACTAAAATCACACATTAAAGATGAAGTAGGGCAGCTTAGTGAAGTCCTCCATTTAAGTTATTGGACAATACTTTATCCTCAGTCCCTGTCCTGTGTGACCTGTAAGACCTAAAGCTGCTTAGTTCTACTCTTAAGAGTCTCCTTAAGCTTTTTTGAGTGCCTATTAAGAACAATGGACTAGATACTTTCTCAAGTCTACTAAACAAATATTCACAATCATTTTACAAAGAAAAAAAATAGCTCCAGGCTCCAGAGCTAGCTGGGAGAGCTGGAACTAGAAGCCTAGGGGTCTGTCTGCCTTTCTGGGGTCCTTCCTATGACCACATAAACAACACTTTAACATTTTACACATTAATCAGATGGCAGCTTTGGTGAAGGTACTATCTGGCAGAAACACAAATTTAACTTCCTCACTGAGTATTTACTAAGGGATCTAAAATAAGGAAATAGTTGATGAAAAATTGAGGGTGGTATGCCAGACATATGTATGTGATTTTTGGTCAATGATTTTAAATTTCATTATATAAAAGTTTATTAATGATGTAAAATTAAACACAATTAGCTACCATTATGACAAATTATCCTTATTGAAAATTTTAAAATATCACCTTCACAAATATCTCCAGTCAAACCTCCAACTTTGTTACTCTAAGAGTGGTTCTCAGGCCACCAGTATCATCATCATTTGGGAGCTTAATGGAAATACACATTCACAGGTCACACCCCAGACTTGCTGAATCAGAAACTGCATTTTTATATAATCCCTAGGGGATTCACATGCTCTTTAGAGTTTGAAGAGCACTGCTCTCACCAACTAAAGTAACACATTAAGATCATATTCTAGGAAATATCAAGCTTCTTGTAATTTTCCTTCCCCCTTTCCTATTTCTTCTTTGACTCCTTAGTTTCACCATCCCCCAGCTTCTTATCTATCAGATATACAAACTACAAAAAGTTTTTGTTTTCACCCTAACAGAAAGAGAGACAATACAAACAACAGTACATATCCCTTTCAGTGAAAATCTATCATGGTTAGACTATCATGGTTAAACACAATAAAACATGCTCAAGCATTTGTCTGTAACAGATAAACCTGCAAAGAGTTTTATTATCTTGTCTACGTCCTATTTTCAGAAGTTCTTATTTTCATTATTTAGAACCTTGATCCTTTGAACATATCAATAGCAGTAATAATAAAAAAGAAAAATACTTCACAGAGTTTGGAGACCGCAGACCAGGTTACCATGCCTTTTAAAATTTCCACATTTTAGAATCACATTTCCACTTCAAATCCAGCCCACATAAACATGAGAGGAGTATGCATACACTGCCTTCCACATTTCATCAGCAAAGGGAAAACAAAACTGGTTCCATATCTGAAAACCTTTTCTTTGGCCTCTTTGGCCAGCAGCAAAAAAAAAAAAAAAAAAAAAAATAGCAACCCCAGAAGTCCCCATGCACTCTGCTTGACTCTGGGAAATTAAATAAAACATTCATTATATTGCTCTTTCATAAATACCAGGATTTCATAAATTGAACAAAGCTAAGTACAGTTATAAATGACTTCTCATTTAGAATTATATGAACATTTCAGAAACCACAAATATTATAATTTTCAACATTTACAGTATTTTGTAAGTAAAGGCATGGAGTGAGAAAGGAGTTACATTCATTCCCCTTTTCATTATTTGCATCAACACTCTTCTCCAGATTTCTGGGACTTCAAAACGTTACCCTTACATCTGCACAGAGCTTGAAAATGTTTATGAAAGGCTTTGCACAGATACCTTTCATTTACCCTCCCCAAGTATCTAAAGATTGGTATTACCATCCTCACCTTATAAACAAACCCAGAAAATGAGACAATGCAGCAAGTCACATGCACAAAAATACAAACACAAATTAACAGCTCTTCATGAAAACAGTGTCTCATTTATTTGGCCTCTGTACTGAGGGAAGTGCCAGGAAAGACTCGTATATTTTAGATAAAAGTGTTGGGAAATTTCTTGGCTACAAAGAATCAACAGATAACCTAGAAAGGCTTGTCATGGAAAGGACATTTATTTTCTTATTGTTCTAAAGTTCACTGTATCACTGCAAACCACGTAAACTCACCCTTATATCCTCCCTGATAATTCCCCATCCCCACACACAAAGCCACTCTCTCATAATTTTTCAAACTATCTTTGTCTGTTATCTCTTCATCAACTACTTATTTATTCATGTGTTTTCTATAAGGTTTTCCCCTCATCTTTTTCTAATTCATTTAGGAATGTAGTTGAATAGTGCCTATGAGGCAACTGAAGTTTTGTGGGAATGAGGTAGAACATAAATGGGATTGATTAGTTAATAATTAATTCATGTTACACAGATTACAACTTGTTTATCACTATACTTTTCTACAGAATTATACAGAGTATTTTCTTTTATTTATAACTTGTTTAAGTCTGCACAATGTCTTGGTAATTTATTAATCAGTAATTCATTCTTTTTGTTGCTAAGTCATATCACATTGTATAAATATACCACAGTTCATTCATTCACCTATTCACGGACATTTGCAATGTTTCTAGCTTTTCATAATTGTGAATAAAAACTGTTATAAATGCTCATGTAAAAGTCTTTCTGGTTCATATGCTTTCACTTCTCCCAAGGAGTGCACTCTAGGAGCACAATGAATGCTTAATTGGTAAGTGCCTATTATTTAAACTATACAAGAAAAGGTCAAACTGTCTTCAAAAGCAACTGTACCATTTTGTATTCCTATTAACAACATATGAGAATTTCAGCTGATCCACATACTTTCCAGCATCTGGCTACTTCTGCATTTTAATTTTAGTTATTCTAATGGATATATAGTGGTATTTAACAAGTTTTACTTTGCATTTTCCTGATGACTAATGGTGCTGAGTATCTTATCATGTACTTATTGAACATTTGTCATATTTTTTTCATGAAGGGTCTGTTCAAACTTGTGCCTGTTTTATGTTTCTTGTTTTATTATTGAGCTATAAAATTTCTTTATATATTCTGGATATAAGTTTTTTGTACACACACACACACACACACACACACATATATATATATGTATCTCAGATACTATCTAAATTAACTCAAGTTTTAACAATCTGAGGGCTGTCTATTGAAGAAAAATGAGTGAATTTTTATTTAAAAAACGAGTGAATTTTTTGGTATATAAAGTTACCCTAATCAAATCACCTTCTTTTCAGCTCTGTAATGACGACTGAAAACCAACAGCCTCATAACTATAGTAGCTATGAAATCAACAGTTTTAGCAGCCACTGGAGAAGGCAGAAGGGTGTTAGAGGTTCACAAGGCCCCACTCTCAGAAAATTATCACTATTTGTCCAATTTGACAGGTATAGAAAGCTCCATTCTTAGAGTTTATCTTTGCTTGGCTTAATCCAAAGTTTATTCTCTATAAACAATGCTGCCATTGGAGCATTTATCAAAAACAATCATCTGAAATTGTTTAAGACTATGGTGACCTAGGACAATGTACAATTGGAGTGATAAAGAGATGGACAAAAACAGTTAAATAAGGGGGGGTGGGGGGTTACAGATTAGAGAATGACATGTCCAAAGGGGTCTTTACAAAGATGCAAATTCTTTCTAGAAATCTAGAAAGACACATTCATGCAAAGAAAAATATGCACACTCTGGGTTGTGTGTTTGCCCATGGAAGAATTCTCTTTCTCTTCTGCCTGAATTTGAGGCCCTATATAAGCAGGAAGAGAGTGGTAAGACAGAGTTGTAAATTTACTGGCTGAATATTTAAGAAATGCCTCAACACATACAGAAAGCCCTTCAGCAGAGCCTGGAGACTTACAGGTTCAAATTATTTCATAAATTCACTGCCCAAACATAAGCTGAACACTAAGTTAACCTATCAGAGGCTTCAATGGCTTTGCACAACAAAAACTACAGACTTTAACACAGAATTAGTCCAGGAGTCCAAAACACAAACAAATAACAACAGTCACTTACAACAAACCCTGGGGATTGGGATATGATCTAACTTTCAGAGTTGTCACACTATATTACTTTAAATGTATCCTTTCCAACACGAAATTTATTTTTTTTAATTAGTTGGAGGCTAATTACTTTACAACATTGCAGTGGTTTTTGTCATACATTGAAATGAATTAGCCATGGATTTACATGTATTCCCCATCCCGGTCCCCCCTCCCACCTCCCTCTCCACCCGATCCCTTTGGGTCTTCCCAGTGCACCAGGCCCGAGCACTTGTCTCATGCATCCAACCTGGGCTGGTGATCTGTTTCACCCTAGATAATATACATATTTCGATGCTGTTCTCTTGAAACATCCCACCCTCGCCTTCTCCCAGAGTCCACAAGTCTGTTCAAATTTAGACACACAGAGAACACTGGCCTGTACTTAAGGAAAATAATGTTATCAAGAGAAATTATCTATGAGGAAGCCCAGATATTGGACTTACTAAAAAACAAAGAATTTAAATTAGCTATTTTAAATATATTCAAAGAATTAAAGGAAATCATGCCTAAATAATTAAAGGAAAGAATGAGAATGATGTGTCAGCAAATAGACAATATCAATAGAGAGTTGGAGATAATTTTATAAGAACTAATTACAATTTCTGTACCTAAAAACTACAATAACTGAAATAGAAATTTTACTACAAAGGCTCAAGATTAAATTTGAGCTGAAGAAAGAGTCAATGAACTTGAAGACAGGTCAAGTGAGATAACCCAGTTTATGGAAACTGGGGGAAGGAAAAGAAAATGAAGAAGAATCAGCAAAGCCTCAGAGACCTATGTAACACCAA